TAGTGACGATTCTCTCTCTATTGCGCTTGCTGTACGCTAACTCGGTTGCTTTGTTCGTTGCACCGGTGTAGGTAGTTAGTTCTAGGCTTAGGTCGATGAGGATGACCGAGTCAGGTGGGCTCCACTAGTAGCTTCAATGACGGAAGCCAGCTTCCGGAGATAGCAAAGTGCGAACTGCTATTTCCGAACTGGGTCGGAGTATAGTATGCCGAAAGAGAGTTATTATTCCCGGTGTTTGGAGATCGTTTGAAATGATGGGTTGGAAGGTCGAGACAAGCTTTTGGGCTCGGAGTCTAGTTATGCCGGGTCGATAATTGGTAAGTTGAGTGCGTTGCGGCATCCGCGTGTCTGCTCCCAATGTTGTATGCTCTCGGAGTTTTATATCTTCCATGGTACCATGCGAAAAACATATATATATGATACTTGGGAAGAAGAGAAAATAACTGATGCAATATAACTAAGAAACTTAATGGAAAAGTGCAGCGATAAAGATGATCAGAGCTTCTCCCATACTAGCATGCGATACGCACCTGGCCACTGTTTTTTGCAGTTCCCAACCATAAACGCCAGTACCATGCTTTCGTAGAATCTCTCATAGCCACTCCTAATGGCAATTGTAAGCTTTTTGCGTTAATCATATTGATCGTCGTCGCCATGGAAGAACCTCAGTACAGCCTTGGCTACAACCAATCCATCATGCATCCAGTCAGCTCTTTCAGCAGCCTCATCGGCCGCCTCCTTGCTTACACTACCGCTCTCAACCCTCATCTCCAATTGTCTCTTAACAAGTTTCTCATCAAACTCCATATGTCCTTGCGTCGTGAATAACCTCTTTCGAATATACACGCCCTGAACTCCAGTGTGATCGCTCGTGCCCCAAACATGTACTTTGGTATCCTTTGGCAGCAAATCTGTTGCTTCTGGTGAAGGAGGATTAACAACATGGTCCAGGTGCATTTGGTGAAGATGGATCTTGGTCTCAGTCTCTGGCAGATTGAAGAGTTCGCGGCCGATTTTCGTAAGCTGGATTGGGTGGTGCGACAGTTCCCACTCGCCATTCTTCTTTGGTTTCACGGTAGATCCTAGTGTACGGCAGAGAATCTGGTGACCAAAGCAGATTCCTGTGAAGCGGATATCGGGGCGGTTCTGCCAGACATCTAACGTCGTTGTCAGCCATTCCTTCGCTTGTCATTCTTGAAACCTAGTTTACGCACCTCTGATGAACTGCATAAGTTTCAGGATCCATGGGTTATCGCCATGTGCGTCCCAGCAGCTTCCCGTGATCAGGATGGCATGCACGTCGTCTTGAATTTCTTCTAGTGTTGGTATTTTGCCGCCCTCTGGCTCAACGACATATTGCATAGCCGTTTCAATGCCTAGCTGCGGATCATGCTCGTCTCCAGCCTTCTTGAGGAGTTCACCCAGTACAACACCAAAGGAACCAGTCTCTTCCTGAGTATCGGGGTGTGTCTCATCCGTCTCAAGAACAAGCATGCGGACCTTGTCCGGATGGTTGGAGAGAAGTGTGCGGTTCTGTGCTATTGGTGGTACCATTTTGGCGGTAGATGTGGAAAACTGATGTGATGAGAAAGATAACAAGGATTGTGAAGGAACTAGGTTGGAAGAAATAGTCGTCCGCATCCGGGGTCTAGGAAATCTTCTTGGAGGGAATGACGTCTGGCGATAACTTTTTTGCACAGAGGCTATGACGCGTGTGTGCTTGTACATTGTCAAAAAGAGTCTAAGCAATTCAAAGAACGAGTTTTTCTGGCTGACAAGAGACGCCGCGGCCTCTCCAAGAGCCTCATGTACCATTTTTCAGCTACCATCTTGGCCGTGTCATGTTCTGCTGTTGTATGACGAGCTTTCAGTTGACGTCAGGACGGCTGTCTATCAGGTCTGGGGTTCAAAGTCGAACGTAATAGCGTAGTCTTGGAAGCGTTGGCGGTACCCAAATTCTGAGCGATTTCGGTATAACGCGGCAGCTATCCATGCAGGTACTGGGAATCGGTGTGGCTGCGTGGCTGAGCCCCATGATCTAATTGGTCTATGGATTCGATGACTAATAGATAATTGTGGCTGGAAAGCCGTCTACTCCACGCCTTTGCCCTTCAGCTTCAAATCCTCCGGGTCATGCGGGGCTTCGGCAAGCTTGCCGGCCGACTCTTTGCCCGTCAACAACTCAGTAAAGACCTTTTGTAACGCTTCAATCGCCTCTTCTCCAATCTGGTAATGTATGACCAGTCTACCACTACCTGTCCTTACCCCATACTTTTCCGCTAGCTCGATGAAGCTGTTGCGCTCGATATGATGGGCCGCCAGGTCCAACCAAACCATGTTTGTGTCTACCGGGTATTGCAGCTTGCCTCCTAGGTCGGTCCACATCTTCGCAATTCTCTTCGCATTCTTGTGCGACTGTGCGAGCTTCCCGCCAAGGAATGTCTCTTCAATGGCAATGCGCATCGGAGCAGCGACCACACCAGCCTGGCGCAGCCCTCCGCCAATTGACTTGCGGATCCAGCGGCTGCGTTTGATGAAAGCTTTTGTACCAACAAGGAGGCTTCCAATGGGCGCACCTAGGCCTTTGCTGATGCACAGACTGATGCTGTCGAATTCGGCACAGTATTCCTTTAGGGAACCGGCGCCTGCAGCAACAGCCTCCCACAAGCGCGCACCGTCCAGATGCATGATGATACCATGTTGGCGTGCCCAAGCAGATATCCGCTTGACTTCAGAAAGAGGCATGATGGCACCATTCAGTGTGTTTTCAAGAGAAATCATGCGCGTTGGGCATGAGTGCACGTCATCCGAGAGTGTCGCATACTTTTGAATATCTTCCAAAGTGAGGTATGTGCCATTTGTCGCGTCGAGAGACTGGACCATGGCCTGAGACAAGGTAGCTACACCTCCTGCCTCGTAATTGACAATGTGCCCTCGCCGGTCGACAATCACGGCATGTGGAGGGCAGGTAAGGTGTGCCCGGAATGCAACCTGGTTGCCCATGGTACCCGAGAGAACAAGAAGCCCCTCTTCTTTTCCGCTCAAGTCGGCAATGAAGCGTTCAAGAGAGAGCGTAGTAGGATCCTCCATGAAGACATCATCGAGTAGGGTGCATTGCTGAATAGCCCTCAGCATGGACATGGTAGGGGTCGTGTGCACATCCGAACGCAAGTCAAAGGCGGCTGGGTTCTTTCCACTACCCCAGGCCGTGCCGTCGGACGGTATGCCATTGGGCACAGACTTGTTGCTCATGGCAGAATACTGATCGAACTCGCCCATGGTGAGCCGTGCTGTTGTATGCAGGTTGCGAAGGGTGGGGTTCGCGGGGCGGGCAATGGATGCGGCGACGGCTCGAGTGTTCGCAGTCAGGCTTGTTCCTTGGGGATGTGTGAGGTCAACTGGACCGGACGTGGATGAGACCACGTACTGAGAAGGCGCTGTAGCGGGTATAAAAGTGTCTGCGGCATTGCAGGCTATGTCCAAAGTTTCATAGGGCGTGTACGGCATCTCAAGAAGCGCTCGGAGCCGAAGATATGCGGCGGATACTTTCTCGACGCGGAACGCTCTCGACTCCGATTCGTCCACGCCTCGTCTATTCCCGGTTCCCCTTAGGAAGGCGACCACCTAACGTACATCGTCCTCGTCACCCGCCCAGATGCTTTGCATGCCATTACCTACAGAAAACTAACAGTATGCACTCGTGCCACATTCTCTCGCCATGACTAGCCAGCAAAAGCCCTCCCCTGTCTGATAACCCCTCCTTTAGCTTACAAACATGCCAACAAAGACATACTGCAGATCCGATAGCAGGGAAGTGCTGACAACCCTGATGTCTTTATCTCTCAGTTGTAAGTGAAAATAAAAACACCTCGACATTTTGGTTGCGAAATCTTTCTCATGTCTTATTTAACACCAGCTTGGCATGTCGTTTGTAGTTGGCAGCAATGTGAATACACGAAAACTGTTGTTTTTGGGATTCATACCTCACACCATATCATCGGATCCATACCCATCCATATTACACCGAGAAGATCTCTGGGTCATATAGACCATCGGTCTACACCATGCATGGATACCATCGCTTTCCGCTTCTATGCGCCGTCCTTTTGCATCGAATCCCGCGTGCTGTCATTCGGCACTTACTCCTTCACACCCTTTCGTCTAGTATCTAGTTCAGTCTAGGGTCACATAAGGACAAGCATCAAAGCAATAGAACCAATTCATCAGATGATACGGTCAACCGACTCTTAATCCGACTTGAAATGTCTCGACTGATAATTCCCACAACGGATCCAAATCCTAGCTCCAAAGAAAATAGACTTACATTAAATACAACCTTGCCAGCACATCAACTTGATTTAGTCGTAAATATATTCTGCAGTCTCACTTCCACCACTCCAGCATCCAAACCGCATCATACCTCCACAAATACGAAAAAAAAGTCAAGTGGAATAACCAGCCCCCTCCCAAGCTTCCTGTGATGTCAACCTAGCTCTCGATCCCGACATCAGCGCGTCTACACCACCAATCATACCCTCCTAAACTTATCCAGGATCTGCAACCTGGTAAGCAACTCCAACCTCTAAAACAACGTTCTGGATTAAACCGGCACGGTTGACCTTATCGGGATCGAACCGGACCGGGCCGGTTATGGGTAAGGCGCATAGCCGGTCTTGTTTCTCTTTCTCTTCTATGGTAATCCAGAGTGTTGAGTATGTAGTGTAGGTGGGATAGTGAAGTGCTTATCGGGGTAAGTTGATAGGTTGGATAGATGAGGCTGGGGCTTTTGCATGTGAGTTGGATGGTAGAGAGTATTTGATAGGGTTTGAGACGATCCAGAGGGTGTGTAGACAAGTAAGAATGAAATATCTTGATTTGTAAATTGAGGTATTGTATCATACGTATCTGACGGTAAGAAAAAGTGACGACGCTGAACACGCTAGGATTATGTCACTGGGGGAAAGATGAGAAATGTGAAACCGGCGAGACAGAAAAGCGTAGTCCGATATTGATAGAGTGAAAAGACGATAGGATAAAGACGGTTGATCTATGGTATCTTCTAATTTTGTTGCAAGATGCGCCTTCTATAATCCACAAAGCAAAGAAGCAGGAATGTTATGTAAACAAGAAATCATCATATGTGCACCTTCCCGTCCCCAAACCCAACACCCTCACACAGTCCTCAGCACACTCACTCCCACTCTCTCAGCCAAATCATAAATAGCAGCAACCACAGGATCAACATCCACACTCTTAATCGGAATCCGATGCGCGCCTGGCCACTCCACCAGCGTCGCGGTCCCTTTCTCACAATACTCATTCAGCAACTTCCTATGCAACTCCAGTCCCGGATCCGCCAAACCATGCACATGCAGCGTCGGCACCCTAAGCGTCGCCTCCTCATCCACCTCCTTGCAAAACTCAAAACCCTCTGATATCCTACCCGCATTCACCAGCGTCTTGCTAGTCAGCAGCTTGGGATTGAGATTGGACAATGGCGCCCTCCCTGCAAGCAACACACCAAAGCGCCACTTGATATCTGGGAAACCGGTGGGACCTGGTGTTATCGGCGCCGCAGGACCACGCTTCTTTGCTTCGTTCTCGCGGGCCTGTTGCTCAAGCAGCAAACTCGCCGATAGCTTTGCGCCCTGGCTGAAGCCCATGAGACCAACCCACTCGCCCGTGCCCCCCGCTTGGTCGTCGTCTTGCATGGCGGTGCGCATGGCGTAGCCAATCTCTTCAATGCACGTTTCCTCGTCGAGTTCAGGGTGCGAGGGTAGCCAGCGCAGCCACCGGCGGAAGGGCGAGTAGCTGCTGTACACGTCAACGACGTCTGGGTGCGGGTCGCAGAAGAAGGGCGCGTCGACCCATACGAGGCGGAACGAGTGTTGCAAATGACGGATTAGGCATCGTGCTTGCGCTTCGAAGATTGCGGCATTGACGCCGCCACCATGGAGACAGAGGATGCGTGGGAAGGAGCGGTCGTCGGGTTTTACCGGGGGTATTTTGGAGGCGGATTGTGAGGGGAGCATGCTTGGGGAGACGCTGAAGAGGTGGGCTTCTGAGGAGGGGGAAGGGGGCTGGGGAATGCAAGTTCTCACTGAAGAGGGCAATTATGGCGAATCGCAAACATCACATGTATGTCTTACGGCTACGGGGGAAAGGCCGCTCGGGGGAATATGCGGCTGATTTTTAGTCTGCCGCAACAGCGTTGAGGATAGGCATCAAAGTAGAGGGCTGCGACTTGCGGTGGGCTCGGAGTCCGGAGCTGGGGGCCAGGGTAGGCCTAATGTTCTGCATGACGTTTATGCTGCTAGACAGACAGGCAATTTCGTATGGGTGTAGACTAGGAGTATTTTAGAGTCCGGCATATTGTCCGAGCTTGACAAGAAATAATGGGGAAAGGTATAGCGACAAAGGCAGTTGTGACAAGGAAGCTTGTTAGATAGGGCGGGGAACCGCTTCGGCTCAGAGTTGCACTAATAGTAACGTCCATGCCTGGGTTGCGAGACGCCCCCGTCACGAGATAAAGCGCAGGTACTTCGGTAAAAACCGACTCCAGTCCGGTCAGCGCGTTATGGTGACCTACAGTCTTCTTTCAATCGTTTTTAAGCTTGTAGTAGACTGCTGTCGTACGACCAGATACCAAAATTTACAGTAGGATCGACGCCTGCATGCCTGATGTGCTGAAGCCTTCTGTTGCGCACCGGAAAGCACAGCCACCACAATATTTATATTTAGAGTTTTACACCTTGTCAGAATTTTATAAAATGATTAGCAGGATGACATTGCGCTCTCCGCTACACTTCGATGGATCGTTTCCAATACAAGCCGCTTGATCCTAATAGCAACCACATACGTCTACTCCGCTTTTCGGACAAACTCGACAGCCAGTCTGGCTACACTCTTGACAGCTTTGACCTCAATGAATGCCCTCCATACGAGGCTTTGTCTTACACGTGGGGACCTCCAATTCCAACAAGTATCATCACTCTGAATGAAAAACCGTTCGAGATTCGGCAAAATCTGTCCGACTTCCTTGAACGTATTCGAATTGGCATCACTCTCCTCGATAAGCATGACTGTCCTCTCTTGCATCCCCAGTATCTATGGATAGATCAGCTTTGCATCAATCAGTCATCCGAGAAAGAGAAATCACACCAAGTTAGGCGCATGGCTGAGATATATAAACAAGCGCAGCGTGTTATTGTGTGGCTAGGTCGCGGTGACGAGGAGAGTGGCACGGCAATGCAACTCATAGCGGATACTTGGTTCGTGGACGAGCTCGCCACTGAAATTTATCCTCCAACTTTTCCTGACATCGTACTTTGGCTTGCTCTGCACAATGAGCAGCAAGATTACCTCGATGGACTTCTCAAAGACTGCCACACTGTTGAAAACCTACTGCGCCAACCATATTGGAATCGGCTCTGGGTCGTCCAAGAATTTGTACTCGCTCGAGACATAGTGCTTGCTTGCGGTCCATGTGCCATCACGCTGGCCGCCATCAGGAGACTGAGATTCATTTCTTGCTTACCGAGCTGGTTCGGATATCGTCAAGGGAATTTCGTTGCGATTCCGAAGCCAGTGCGTAATCTTCTTGATGCGAGACGCGACAGATTCAACGGAAAGACGTTCATATTACCCGACTTGCATTTAATAGCCTTGTTACGCGACTTTTCCACGCGGAAATGCGAGGATCCTCGTGATAGGGTGTATGGTTTGCTCGCACTGTGTAATGACAAGGTCGATATTATTGTGGACTACTCGAAGCCAACGGATGTAATATTCCGTGAGATCTTCACTAAGCTTATCTACTTCAATGGCTATGATGAGGAATGGTTTGTACAGCTTGCTAAAGATATGGGCGTCAAGCAGAAGCGTCCTGCGCCCAGTGGAAGTTGGCATTAGTAGGCTCAAAGGGGAGCGTCAAGTGGATACTGGTTGTGGCTAGACCTAAGGCAGCAATTCTTCAAGTACTAATTGAATGCTAGGTATGTTAGATGGAAGCCCAGGCCACTTGCACGGTTATATGTGTTTTCCACTAACCAATTAGCCCACTACGTTACCTGACGTTTAACTGATAAAGGGGTGACTAATGACCGTCAGGAAAAGATCAACGGCATAAGTACTATTGCGGAAACACTGTTCAGAGACTCTCTGGTTGTAGGAGAATAGCTTTACATTGCTGTGTGTCAACTACAGGTAGTTATGTTAACTTGCAAAATCTGCTAAGTTGATCGCGGCATCTTTTGTTATTATACCCAGTTAAGTATTGCTAAACCAGGCCTAGCATCGGAACTGATGTATTCTGCTCTGGCTCAACAATCAACCCTCACACTTCTTAACCATCCCTTCAATTATCAAAACATGCCGTCCATCATCCAATATCAGCCCTAGCTCTCAGTTTCATTCATATTCAGGGCACTACTAGTCTCCTATATTTCCCTATGTGTCCCTCCAAATAGCCCTACTCCTTGGAGTGAGCAACTCATCAAACCGTGTCGTTTTAGTTCCACCTCGTCATGCTGCAATTTAAACAGTCGTTTTGGATGCATTAGCAGCATATTGGGAGAGGAACTGGGGGTCGTTCTCAAACTCCTCTTTGACCTGTGTATTACTAGTAAGTATTGTAATCTGTCAGGGTAGAGGCAGGACACTTACAATATCAAGGCCACCTACAAGCTCACCGTCGGCCCACAACTGAGGGAACGTAGGCCAATCAGCAAACTCCTTCAAACCCTGCCTAACCTCGTCGTCGGCCAATATGTTGAAAAATCCATAGCGAATTCCTTTTTCGCGAAGAATGCTAACCGTTTGTCGGCTGAAGCCGCATTGGGGTGCGCTTGGTGTGCCCTTCATAAACAGCATGACGGGTGCAGCCTTGACGAGCTCTGATAGCCTTTGGTGTAGCTCTTCCTTGCTTGTTTGTTGCTCGCCTGCAGTCTGTTCGGGCGCAGTCTTGGGATCCTGTGCGCTTGGTGTGTAGCCTGCAAGATTCTTGCCTGAACTATCGCCATTCTCTTGGGGTCGTGTGACTGTTTGCGCGGGAGGTAGACTCGACTGGCCGCTGCCGGCGCCAGCATACTTTTCAACTGCTGCTCGTACTTTTGAGGCATCAGAGCCTGAGACGGTCTCTAGGACTTTGCCGTCCTTCTGTAGGACGATGTATGGGACTGCGGTGACATCGTAGGTCTCGGAGACTTCTGGTAGTTCTTCGGCGTTGACGGAGAAAAAGGATATCGGTGCGTCGGCCGAGTATGTGCTGGCAAGTGTCTTGAGGACAACGGACATTTGCTCGCATGGCTTTGCCCATGGTGCGTTGAAGTAGATGACGGCGAGTGTGGAGGCGGGGAGGGCGGAAATGGTCGACTGGAACGCCGTCTCGTCGGCGATCTCTTGCAGGGTAGCCATTGTAGAGTAAATTTGGATTGATCAAAGTAGACTGTGAATCAAGTGCGGGATGTATAGTACAAAGCAAGTCTATAACTGCGAGGCTGATCTGATTAATATTTAGTCGCCGCCCTGCAGAGGAAATCACGTCAGAGGGGCGCCGAACTGCGGAACTGCCCACCCCACCATGGGCGGCGTTATCAGATTTATCGGTCCAATTGTTTCTCCGGTCCCGGCTATCGTTGGAACTTTTTGTTTCCGCCAAGATTTCCAGACAAGCATCTCGAGCAACGCAAGCAGTAAAACCACCAACACCGCCAATATGCTCAAGCAAGCGTATGTAGAATGAGTCGCAGAATCACCAAGATCAATATTTTCTAACAATTTCCCCCAGCAAGCCCAAGAATGCCCGCGCCAAGCGCGAAATGAAAAAGCGCGAGCCGCAACAGAACGAGAACCCAAAGACGACGCTTTTTGTCTCAGGCCAAAAGACGTCGCAAATCCTCAAGCTTGCCGTCGCCGATCTTACCACTATCAAGCGTCCTTTTGTCGAGCGCTTCACCAAGAAGAATGACATTCACCCCTTCGACGATGCCTCTTCGCTCGAGTTCTTCTCCCAGAAGAACGACACCTCGCTCCTCGTCCTGTCGCTGCACTCGAAGAAGCGCCCACACTGCCTGACACTCGCCCGCACCTTCTCGTACAAGATGCTCGACATGCTAGAGCTCTATATCAACCCAGAAACATTCCGCACACTGCAGCAATTCAAGAACAAGAAACCTTCGATTGGTCTCAAGCCCATGATTAGCTTCCACGGCACCGTCTTCGAAGACCCCAACCAGACAAAGTACACCCTAGCTAAGAGCCTGTTTCTGGATTTCTTCAAGGGCCAAGATACAAACGAAATCGATGTCGAGGGCCTACAGTACCTCGTCTCCATCTCGGCCGAAGAACCCACCGACGAGCTCCCCAGCCCACCCATCCACCTGCGCTTCTACCTCTTGCGCACAAAGCGCTCCGGCCAGAAGCTGCCGCGCATCGAAGTTGAGGAAATGGGCCCACGCATGGACTTCACCCTCGGCCGCGAAATGTTCCCCGACCCAGACATGCTCAAGCAGGCCATGAAGACACCCAAGGGCGCAGAGGCTCGCACCAAGAAGAACATTGATATGAACGCAATGGGTGACAAGACGGCCAAGGTCCACGTCGGCAAGCAGGACTTTGGTGACCTGCAGACAAGGAAGATGAAGGGTCTCAAGCGTGGTCGTAATGAGGATGATGACGACGACGAGGAGGCTGGTGTCGAGGATAGCGCAAGTGAAGACGACGACGAGGTGGAGGAGAAGACACCCAAGAAGATGAGAGTATGAAGTGTGCAAAGACGTACTTACTGCATGGGCGGCGTTTATCGGAATCCATTCCTGGCGTTGAAAAAATGTTGAGCGAGACTATACCATTTGAGTAGTATGGACAACTTGCGTCCCTGAGAAGAAAAAGACAAAATGAAAGGTTTAATTAAACATCGTACGCGTCTCATAATCAGTCGTTAATATGTCGTGAATTGTTACGAAAAAAAAACACTCTATATCAGCGCTATAGCATGTTCCTACTCATCGTCCGGCTCATCAGCCAACAGCCACTTCGCCCTGCATTTCACCGCCGCAGTCCTAACCTCTCTCTTGCCATCATCCAGCGCAGCAATCAACCTCCTAACGACCTCCCTCCTATACTTGACCAAAGTATCCTCTTTGAACTTATCCGCTACAAGTAATAAACACTTGAGCGCCGCTACCCTCACGCTCGGCGGCGGAGGCGGACCCGTCTTGCCATCTTTGACAACAATGGCGTTGGCAAGAAGACGCGAAATGAGTGCGCCGGTGTGCTGCTCAAGGACAGGTGGTTTCTCAGCGAGTGTGCTGGTAAGCGTGCCGATTGCAGCCTCTTTGACGGCATCAACGCCTTTGAGGTCAAGGGATTGAAGGAGCAGTGTAACGAGTTGTCCGACTTCTTCGACTACAATGTCGAATGGCATCCATCTTAGCGCTCCGCTAAGCGCAATCAAGTAGTTTGGTTTCGTTTGAGCGTCTGCGTCGCGAAAAGCGGATGTGATGTTCGGTACTAGCAATGCGAAGGTCTTGTGCTTGTGGAGGCCGACGATCTGGCAGTGGCTCGCTTTGGTCAGGAGATCGTCGGGTTGTAGCAGTGTGGTGAAACCTTGGGCTACTGTACTACCGTACTTGGGGTGTGACAGTAAGGATAGCAGTGTTGGGTACAGTGTATTCAACGCTGGACTGCTACGTAGTACGATTCCCTTGAGACAAGCAAAGATTATGCGTATCCGTGGCGGGTCTAGCTTCTCCGGGTTCAAAAGATCAAAATTTGCGATAAGAGGATCCATGCATGTCTTAAGTGCAGCCGAAGTATAGTACTTGTTGATGATGAGCGACATCTGACGGAGAGATGCTGATCGAACTGGGACGGATAGTGTGGGTTTCTGGACGTATTCTGCGAGAGAAGAAACAAGTAGCTGCAGCTCGCAGGGAAGGGTTGTATCTTTTCTGAAAGACGCGAGGATATGTGTCGAAACGATCATAGTTTTGTCAGCCTCTACGCTTGCGCTGGCATTGAAAGGTGGAAGTTCGGCTTGTGGTGTGCCACGGAACAGCGTGTATAGTTCTGCAGCGATAGCGTTCTGCTGATCGGTGGGCAGGTGTCTGATGATTAGGTTGCAGATGCGACCAACAAGATCTATGGTTGTCTCGTCGTTGAATGCTGCCGGATGTGACTCGTCTGAGCTCGATACGCGCTGGATCAATGGTAGTGCAATGTCCTTGTAGTATGTCGAGCTTCCTGAGCCTTCAGACAGTTTGCGTTCGCCCTTTTTTAGCGCATACAGGATTGCCGAGAGGAGTGCAACAATGTATGTTGAAGAGGCACCCTGCTGCACCGCTACGCTAAATTTGTTCTTGAGACGTATTATGACGGTGTCAAAAACCTGTTCTTCGCTGGCGAGCTTAGCAAAAGCTTCGAGCACGGTAGAGTAGCTCTGAGATCCGCCTGTGTCTGTATCTGGTAACTGGGCCAGGAAAGCTGGAAAGGCCTTATCAACGACAACCTGCGGCTTCTGATGTGCAATTTCGACGATTCCGTTGATTGCTGCCTCTTTGATCTCATCTTTCCCATATGGTTCTTCGTGAACAACAATCGTGTGTAGCAATTGGATGATCCTGCCAACATCCTCATCACTCAAAAGTGCGCGGGTTTTGGATAATTGGACTAGCCCATCAAGACATACCAATCGGAAAGATACCTCTTTGACAGGAGCTGTTTCGAGTCCATCCAGCATCACCTCGAATGCTTGATCTCGGAATTCAGCCAGCGAATTCTTGCCAGCTTGTTCGCCGCCTGAACCTATGTTCCTCCAATCACCGTAAACATCAATGTTGGCTTTTACCAATTGAACAAGGACTTCCAGCAAACCCCGACGCTTGGCCATTGTATCTGCTGTCTGAAACAAGAGGAAGAGGTTGGGTAGCACCCCTGCTAGGAGAATACTGGTGACTTCTGGGGATACGTTGGCAATGCTTTGTAGGAACCGTGCGGACGCTTGTGATTGCTTTGTAGGAGCATCTTCAAGATGCTCATTGCATTCCTTGATGACCGGTTTGAGATATGCATTCAGCGACCCTGGGGTACCCTGCGATAGTATTTTTGCGATTGCGGCCAGGGCGTTGAGCGCTTCTTGGGCGAGGTTTTCCTCTTGCACATTGAGTACTTCAAACTTTAGAGCATCCCATAATGTCACAGCATACAGCGATACTGTTTTTGGTCCGTATTCTCTCACACAGGCAGTGATCGTCGTTAGCACATCTCGCTTTGTGTTCATAGATGTAGAGTCGAGCTTGTCCAGAAGCGCGGGGAAAGCATACGGGGCAAAATCGGCCGTAGACGAAATGCAGTCCCGTAATCGGTCCTTGAGGTCCTGAGCGGTAATTCCGTATGGGTCGTCGGGTGGTGGTCTGAATGTGATAGGAAAGTAGTTGAATACGGCATCGAAAAGATCTTGAGCATCACCGCCAATGCTCCACTCAGTCATCGGAACCCTCAGTATAGAGAACACGACCATCAGGTTCCGAGGGTCTTTCTCCCCGTCAAAGTATGATATGAAGCGCGCCATGAAGTCGGGCGTCGCATCGTGGTGGGCTCGAAGAACTCCGCGGTACTTGGCCATGAGGGTGTTTATGAGTTGTAGTACCGGATATCGCTCGCTTTGCTGTTTGTACTGGCGTAATGGGTGGGTATTGGAAAGGAGCGCCTCGACAATAGCGACGACCCGTTGGTCATCCCACTTTCCAAGCTCCTCGAGCGCCAACAACGCCTTTGCACATGATCCTAGACCTTCGTTGTCTTCGGTCCGGGAAAGGGTGAAGTCGCATAGCAGATTTCCTGAGTACCAAGATTAGCTCCATATTTCCGACAAACGTAGCGCCTCATCTTCGTGCCGATATGCCATCGATATCTCGGTCTGGTTCAAACAAGAGTGTAGGAGTCGCGATGGCTCATGCATGTGCGGATGCTCTGATGCCACATCAAAAGGATAGTCTTGGTTTACGTACGTTGCTGTAGGGACAGAACCTTTTGTGGCGTGGCAGCAAGTACCTCTGCGAGATATGACATAGCTGTTGAAGATTAGCACTATGCACACCAGAACCCCAATGATTCCTTACTGTTGGATCGTGTCGCGCCATCTTCGCTATTCAAATACTCCCCAAGGTCAGTGACCAAACTAATCAGCTTCAATTCGCCATTCTTGAGTCCTGTCTACTATCAGCATGCCATGTCCCCCCACATCCCCGGTGCCCCTCCAGAAAGCCTCATACATACGCGTGGCGCTCGCCTGAGCAGTCGCAGTCGCCTCCTTCTTATTCTTGTCAAAATCCAGTAGATACTTCTGAATATCCGACATTCTCACGTTCTGGTAGTTGAGAGACGGATATCAAAAATGTGGTTTACAAGTCGCGAACCAAACCCACACACTCCCGCCATGACGTTACGGAGTTGCGGAGCTGCTGATTGGCCGGTATCGGACGGTGGGGCACAAGCCCGCCCGCGCGCAGAAAAAAAAGTTATAGTAGGACGATTCGGCAAGTGAGTAAA